CCTGGAGCTGGATTCGGTCAGCGGGAAAAAGCGGAGCGGAGGAACCCTGGGAACGGAGCTGGGCTGGCTCCTCAGGCAGGTACGGGAACGGCGGGAATGATGGGAATGATGGGAATGACGGGAATTCTGGGAACGGAGCTGGGCTGGCTCCTCAGGCAGGTACGGGAATTCTGGGAATGATGGGAATGATGGGAATGACGGGAATGATGGGAATGATGGGAATGTTGGAACCCTGGGAACGGAGCTGGGCTGGCTCCTCAGGCAGGTACGGGAATGTTGGGAATGTTGGGAATGATGGGAATCCTGGGAATGATGGGAATTCTGGGAATTTTGGAGGGATTGGGAAAGCTGGGGATGTTGGGATATCAGGAATGCTCGGGATTCTGGGAATTCTGGAGGGTTTGGGAATGTTGGAACCCTGGGAACGGAGCTGGGCTGGCTCCTCAGGCAGGGACGGGAATGTTGGGAATTCTGGGAATGATGGGAATTCTGGGAATTTTGGAGGGATTGGGAAAGGTGGGGATGTTGGGATATCAGGAATGCTGGGGATTCTGGGAATTCTGGGAATTCTGGGGGGATTGGGAATGTTGGAACCCTGGGAACAGAGCTGGGCTGGCTCCTCAGGCAGGGACGGGAGTGATGGGAATGTTGGGAATCCTGGGAATGATGGGAATTCTGGGAATGATGGGAATGGCAGGAATTCTGGGAATTCTGGGAATTCTGGGAACGGAGCTGAGCTGGCTCCTCAGGCAGGGAGGGGAATGATGGGAATGGCGGGAATTCTGGGAATGATGGGAATTCTGGGAATGGTGGAACCCTGGGATCGGAGCTGGGCTGGCTCCTCAGGCAGGTACGGGAATGTTGGGAATGTTGGGAATGATGGGAATCCTGGGAATGATGGGAATTCTGGGAATTTTGGAGGGATTGGGAAAGCTGGGGATGTTGGGATATCAGGAATGCTCGGGATTCTGGGAATTCTGGAGGGTTTGGGAATGTTGGAACCCTGGGAACGGAGCTGGGCTGGCTCCTCAGGCAGGGACGGGAATGTTGGGAATTCTGGGAATGATGGGAATGATGGGAATTTTGGAGGGATTGGGAAAGCTTGGGATGTTGGGATATCAGGAATGCTGGGGATTCTGGGAATTCTGGGAATTCTGGAGGGTTTGGGAATGTTGGAACCCTGGGAACAGAGCTGGGCTGGCTCCTCAGGCAGGGACGGGAGTGATGGGAATGTTGGGAATCCTGGGAATGATGGGAATTCTGGGAATGATGGGAATGGCAGGAATTCTGGGAATTCTGGGAATTCTGGGAACGGAGCTGGGCTGGCTCCTCAGGCAGGTATGGGAACGACGGGAATGGCGGGAATTGGGAATGGCGGGAATTCCGGGAATTCTGGGAATGATGGGAATTCTGGGAACGGAGCTGGGCTGGCTCCTCAGGCAGGTACGGGAATCCTGGGAATTCTGGGAATTCTGGAGGGATTGGGAATGCTGGGAATGTTGGGATATCGGGAATGCTGGGAATCCTGGGAATTCTGGGGGGATTGGGAATGGTGGAACCCTGGGAACGGAGCTGGGCTTGCTCTGGAGACAGGTCTGGGAATTCTGGGAATGACGGGAATGTTGGGAATCCTGGGAATGTTGGGAATCCTGGGAATTCTGGGAATTCTGGGAATGACGGGAATGTTGGGAATTCTGGGAATGTTGGGAATCCTGGGTGGATTCTGGGAATTCTGGGAATGACGGGAATGTTGGGAATTCTGGGAATGATGGGAATGGTGGAACCCTGGGAATTCTGGGAATGATGGGAACTCTGGGAACGGAGCTGGGCTGGCTCCTCAGGCAGGTACGGGAATGATGGGAATTCTGGGAATTCTGGGAATGGTGGAACCCTGGGAACGGAGCTGGGCTGGCTCCTCAGGCAGGGACGGGAATGACGGGAATGATGGGAATGACGGGAATGTTGGGAATTCTGGGAATGTTGGAAGCCTGGGAACGGAGCTGGGCTGGCTCCTCAGGCAGGTACGGGAATGGCGGGAATGACGGGAATGATGGGAATGGCGGGAATTCTGGGAATGATGGGAATGATGGGAATCCTGGGAATGATGGGAATGGTGGAACCCTGGGAACGGAGCTGGGCTGGCTCCTCAGGCAGGGACGGGAATGACGGGAATGTTGGGAATGATGGGAATTCTGGGAATGGTGGGAATTTTGGGAACGGAGCTGGGCTGGCTCCTCAGGCAGGTACGGGAATGGCGGGAATGATGGGAATTCTGGGAATGATGGGAATGGTGGGAATGATGGGAATTCTGGGAATTCTGGGAACGGAGCTGGGCTGGCTCCTCAGGCAGGGACGGGAATGACGGGAATGTTGGGAATCCTGGGAATGTTGGGAATCCTGGGAATG